TAGCTTTTTCTTCTCAAAGCGACTGGAAAACTAGCTGAAACTTTTTTGTGGAGACGAGAACGCTCCATCATTGAACGTCAAAGAGAGAGAGAATATGGCCGTTGTCCGAGTATCGAGTACGTCATGGTATGTTCAAGTGTCATTGCATAGAAGAAATCCTTATGTTTGTTTAGGCACTATGGAAAATTACGATTTAGAAGTTCCCTAGTTATGCAGTTTTTATTAAGATACCAATCTCTACCCAGATATAGAGTTATCGTTCCACTTATACCTCTGTCAACGTCTAAAACATAGTACGGAAGCGGAGAAACGTAATTTTTCTTTCAAATGTTGTTTATAAAATGGTCCATAAGAAGATTATACCTTTACATTTCTACGTGTCAATGCTACAAGTTGTTTGTCTATAAAAATTATAAACCATGTTGATTTTTATCCCCAGTGCGTTTTAAGTTTTCCACGTTCGTAATATCCTGCCGAGAAATAATCCCTTGTAAGATATGGCGAAAAGGTGGTATCTGTTTCTAATGAGACTTTCATTTAGGAATTGAAGCAAGAATATAGAAGTTTTAAATTTATAATTTATGATGCAATATGTAAAAGTTAAGTTTTGCCAAGAATCTTGGCATTTAGATGTTGACAGAGGTGTTGTAGCGGAGTGTAATACGCCCTCTGGTGAGAGATTGTTCAAAATACATGACTTGTACGAATGTATTTTACGACATTCAGATTGAAGAAAAGTACAACTATTTTGTAGCATTTTATATTCGTATGTCAAAAAGTCGATATTACTCGAACAATTTTGCCCAAATATGCTTTTACGTTCAGACATCACACCATTATGTCATTTCTTTTATTGTAACTTAAATAACGCTTATAACGACGCAAAATCGTCGGTCTCTGGCACAACGTAATAGGCGTGTTTTACTGTGTAGGTTTCTTTCACAATTTCCAGGCTAAGTATTCATTGAAAATATGTATGTCTATAAAATCAATGTATTTTTTTTAAACATCATTGAAAATTGAAGTTTACTGCTTCTATCAATCGATGACGCTCTATACTCACTTAATACATTATCTTACGATAAAAGTCGATAATTCTTATTGGCTGGTTGTGTTCAGATTCCACAGCTCTACCGAGGAAAAACACATTGAGGATAAATGTAACTAGCGGACGTCAATGTCATTGGCTACGAGAAATGATCCTTTACCAGCAAGTAAGTAATTGTTACAGTTGCATTTTATTGCTGATTATAATAACTTAAAATTATATCAAATTTTGTAATGCAATGAAAAAAAGGCATGAGAAAGCTAAAAGAAAACATATTCTTCATAATGTAAGAAATGTTTAAATTTTCAACGAAATTCAGAAGCAAAACGAAATGATCTTACTTCTGATTTTATTACGTTTTTCATTATTTTTTTAAATTTTGATAATTTTTTTGCAAGAAAACTGATTACAAATCAACATTATTCGTAAAGAGAAAACTGCATGAAACTGTAAAGGACTTTGAAATTGTACACAAAAAGAATACAATACAAAAAATTGTTCAAATACAAATGTATGCAACATCAACTGCTGAATTTTAAGTTATTTTCAAACAACAATTCATTAACAATCCCTGTTTGAATGTCATTTACATATTTTAAGAGTTTTCAGTTTATTCAGTTTTTGATTTAGTAAAAACGACCCGTTGTACCTTCCAACAAGCTATTGTTCCTTTCCATGACATTTTTTTGGGATATGTAAATGTAAGTCTCGGATCATTGTTTTTATCTTGTTTTATGTCTTCTCGAGATTTTTTTCACTCATAAGGAGACGCCACCACTTGCCGGTAGAGAGCTGCAAATTTTGTCCTATACTCAGCGAAAACGACCATTGACCAGTGAGGGATCTTTTTCATGCCAGCACCTACTGCAACACGTAGACTTCGGTTTATACGGTCTCATTCGAAGGACCGGTCTCCACTTCCCAAAGTAAGAGTCTAACCCGAGACGTACATTTAAGGATCAATTCTTACTTTGCGACTCTAGGGCAGACGCTCAAACCACTGCGCCACGCGGTAGACTCATGTAACATTGCAAAATGGAAATTAAAAAAGATAAAAAATACTCTGTTAGTAGAATAATATTATTACAAATGCGAAGAAATTCTTACAAGTTGAAAGAACCTGATATTGGTTATTTTGTACTCCTTTATTTCTTTACCCATAGCAGAGTTAAATGAAAAATCCTTTTCCGGAGCATACCGTAAATCTGGAAATTTTTACGTCGATTTTAATTCGGGTCAAAATGCTGTTGATTAATATTTACGTTTCAAAATTTTGCGAATGACCACTACTTCGTTTATATTTTCTTATTGTTGAATTATTTTTAAGAAAAAATTTTTTTGCGAATGCAATGAACTCGCAAATTTGCTAAAAATTTATCTACAGCAAAAATTTCCAGATTTACGGTATCTTCTCTCCCCTTTGTCCAATGTGGCACGCATGTCACTCACAGAGTACCTCTGGTCAATGGATGTATAGTGACCTTGTCAATAGTTTCTAGGTCAAGGTGAAACCCTTTGCAGCTACATGTATCTTACATTTTCGTGTTTATTGCTGAAATCAGGGTCCTTTGAAACGGCTACCATCTCAATGATATCTAGTTCGAAATGTTTTTATTGTATGTCACTCGTGAAATTTGTTAAATCAAGGATTTTCTGAGAAGTATATTTTAGATAAGTACTCATATAGTATTACGCAAAATCGCAGAGAAAATAGGGGGTGGGGGTGGGTCAGTGTGCATCTTACTGATCTACTGTACAATTTAGTTGACCTTTTTGCACTTACATTTTATTTTTTTGGTTAATTACTTCAATCTTTATCATATTTTATCAGACGTAACCATATTTGGGGTATTGAAAAACTATATAAGCAATAAAACATTCTCTTAAATGCTTTTTACGGCGTAGGTGCTGAACAGTCACAATTATCGAATACTTAAAAATAATGAAAGAAAAAGTTGGGGTCAGCGATGTTAATTTTGAAATATTGGTCAAAATTTGTGATTTTCTGGCGAAAAATGATGTAAATTTTATCTTGACTTATTTTACATATCTTCATTTTTTGCGAAGTTTGTTGATGGAAGATGTAAAACTTATTCTAAAGTATGAAATAAGACCTGTATTGAATATTCCTAGCAATATCATAACGGAAAATATTCTCCGAGTAAAAGTATGTGAGGCTAAAGTTCAAAGATAATAAAATTTAATAAATGTGCAGATTTGCAGAATTATCTGCTAAATATCATTCCACCGAAAGAAGTAGTCCCTAATAAATCTTGCTTCTTTGTAGCCTTTTGAGCAGTTTTTTCGTTGAATGTTAAAACATTTACATTGTTAAATTAAAATATGTTATAAAATTTGAATTTTAATGAATAGTTTTGAAATAAGAGGTTTTGTGTGAACTGTTCTAAAAAGCTGACGAGTGACATACCTGAAGGTACGTCCATGTCGAGTAAATTTAAACTGTGCTTAATTAAAATATATGACTCATTGATTTCCACACATGCACTGAAATGTCATACATTTGGTTAACCGTGATGTACATCATTATTATCTGAATAAGTTGTCACGCACCCATCTGACAAGTACCTTCCAATACATAGACAAAAACATGTTTTGTAAGCAATGAAATTCTTATTCATACTTAAACTGAAAATAAGACTATTTTTCGCAAACTGTGTATTACCTATAAATGAACATCCATTTTTTCGTTTTTTGAAATAATTTAACTTGGGAAAAAGGTTGTTATTGGTATTTTTACATTGTATGCAGGGATATCTACAATCATGTTGAATTTTTTTCATTACCGATGTCGATTTTTAACCTATAAACGTTAAAGAGGGCGTAGACTAGATTCAAATTATTAAGACAACTAACGTTCCATCGGCGACCATCGGTAATTTTGCGAGAAGAAAAGCACTCCTTATCTCCTTCCTAATGGGATTGATTCTGCAGTTTCCATATTTTCTATCAAATTGACGTCAAATTCAATTATACCTAAGAGTCCATCACAAATATTAAATATTTAATCTTTGGCTTGAAAAAATAATAATATAAACGGCATTATAAAAATGTGATACTTTACATTTGCTCATTTTATTTATGTTTGTTAACAATAAATATGCACTAGAAACCAGTCTAAGAAGGAAATTTTCTAAACGAAATGGTTATCGACTTTTCTACTCCGTCAACACGCTCTTCTGAACAGGTATTCGAAGATAATTGTACAAACTCAAAATGAAAAAAAAAATTTAATTTTCTAAATCACTTCTCCTAAAAGTATTCTTTGGCCTTTTGCTGAAATCGATGATGTTATTTGCAGGCGAACATGCTATTGATTTGGTCTTTCTAGTGTTTTGCTCTTATCATATCAGCTTATACTAGTATATAAAAACCCTCCAATTCAAGATTCCAATATTGATTTCGAGTCAATGGAGAATAGATGTATGTATTCCGTGCAAAGAACGGCTTTTCAAATATTTGAATATTTACAATTAATATTCATTCATGATCAATTTTAAACAAATCTTTAAAAAACAAATTAAGTATTCCAAAACAAAAAAAATGAATTTACAAGAAATGCTGAAATACAAGTTTTCAATTACAAAAGGGGTTAGTATAAGGAAATTAAAACCTTTTCAAAATCACTTGTGAAAATCATTTACACGTTTAAAAATTGAGGTATTATTTCCTTGTTATCGCATTAAAAAATATTCCTGCGTTTATATGTATTTTTATGCAACGTATGTAAATAAATCTTCCCATGCTAATTACCAAAGAAAACATATATTACTGTTGAAAGTACCTTAATCTTGCCTTTTCAAAATAAAAAAAAAAAGAATCTGATCTTTTTTTTCATTTTATTGTTTACATAGTACCTATATGGCGGAAAAGAATCAATGGCTGTCTCCCATTTATTTTTTTAAAATCTTCTCGTTTCGATAGACTTTTCCACGTATTCCAAGTTGACTAACCATTCGGCAAATGGCCATTTGGATTAAGGTTAATTTGCCGAGCCTCATTCGCTTGTTTATGGTGGTACTCAGCGCCTATATCATCACGCAATTCATATTTTTATCTGCAGGTAATTTAATTTAACACTCTTTTAATAAATGATACAATTTCTTCAAATACATGTATCAATTTCTTTGTCAGTTTTGTTTTAAAATCATTTCAGTTCCTCGATATTCCAAATTGATTCAAAAGGTAAGAAATATTTTGTAAAATTTTAAGATCTACGAATGTAAGATTTATAAAATTTAATTAATTTCCTGAGGTAGATACATCTTTGCTAATTATTTCATATGAGAGAAATGCTTAAATCCTGTTCTAATCATGCAAATATCGTTGTTAAATTAATGTTCGCGTTGGAATATTTCCACGTATGTTGTTACAATATAATACAAAGGGTCTATTAACTGTACTTATTTTTGTCAATTATTGTGTTTATTATACCCTGATATTTGCTTGCATTGCCTAGAATGTATCGTGTTGTCACCGAGATCAACCCAATATAACAGCTGACGTCCCAGTTTCGAAGTTCATCACGAAGGGAGTTCCTCTACTGGCCCCTAAGCTGGCCAAGCTGTATAAGCTGGTTGCTAACATGGATCAAAGTGTGGTGGATGTATTTGGATTTCCTTCTTCTAAAAAGGGTAATCGAAATATTTAAACCGAGCACACGTCAAAGTGCTACTCGTCACTTGAGCTCTTAAAACAGAGCCTGGAAAAAGAGAGAACTCGAACTTTGCACATTGATTTTCTTCCGCAGTTACCTACGGTTGAGTCTTGTACAACTCAGCGGTCTCTTCATATCTTCGACGAGCAGAGGGTCTGTTAAAGAACCATGTTGGCTTTTGTAACCGTCAGAGACGTTGTCTGTGCATTTTCCACATATGTTTCTATTGTTGTGACTTCATACTAATGATTAATTATTAATTAATTTTTATGCCCCCCCCCCCCCCATGCGAAGATTAAATGTATGTTGTTTAACGACCCTCTCAAGAATTTTTCCACTCATATGGAGAAGCCACCTCTTGCCGGTGGGGAGCTTCAAATTTTGTCAACTTTTCGGCACTTAATGCCATTGAACAACGAGAAATATTTTGTCTGCCAGCACCTTCTGCGACACGGGACCTTGCTTTATAGGGTCTCGTCCAAAGGACCGGTCTTCACGTCCCTCGGTGGGATTCGAACCCGTGAGGTAAGGATCAACTCCTTCGCGACCCTAGAGTAGACACTCAAACCACTTCCCAAATTAGAAGATGTTGGTTTAATGCCCAATACATTCCAATGATTAGTTTAAGGCAGCAGTACCGTCTTTCATTGATCGGCAAGTTCAAATAAATTTCAATGAGTTTGGACAAAAAATAAACTTAAATTATACATGATAGGATATGTACTTGGTGATGTATAAGGAGTCATGTTTTGTAATCAGAGGAGCACCTGGCATACGATGTGAAAGTCACTTGTCTTTCGCGTTGATACATTAAGCAAGCATTTGCTACGCAAGTATCCTTACGTCGTTGGTTCGAATCCCACAGCTGGACTTGGAAACCGATCCTTCGGATGAAACCATAAAAATTGAAGTGTTGTTACGATAAAGACCTAACTGTTTAGGAGTGCAGGTCGTTAGATAACATACAAACGAACAGATTTTTACTTCAACACCATAGAAAACCACTTTCTCTCATGACTTAGATCTTAAGACAAAACAAGTCCCGTGAGGAGCCAAGTGCATGACGTGATTTGCGATGAGAACCATCACCCTTTATCATGACATTAAATACAGAGTATATGGAGATAACGAACAGTATTCAAGCTCAAAAGTCCAATAACAAATAAAACATCAGAGGTGGAATCAGGTGTCATGGAGGAGTGAGAATCCCCTGCCGACCGATCACACCCGCCGTGTGCTCTTTGTTATGAAATAAGAGGAAAATCCATCGACAATTCAGTATGTACATAAAAAGATTTGACATTTGGGAATTAACAAGAAAACGTTTTCCGACACAATCGGAAACAATAATGCTTTGAAAAGCTTATATTTACCGTACATGTGTACATCAGTTTACTTTTACAACATTGATTGCATATCATAAAAATACACTTGGTTTTATAATTTCAGTTTACCTCTCCATTGGAATTCGTCTGAGAAGCACAAACAAGAGTGAACTGAACCTAGTACAGGAGACTTTAAGTTCGATTCTCAAAAACTCGGCTGTGCAGGATAGAACGCATTACATTGTCGTCATGTACATTCCCTTTATCAGAGGCCAATCAAAATTTCCTCTGCATGAAGTTCTGGAAAGACGATACATGGATTTTGTCAACGAGGGCTTGATTCACGTTATCAGGCCTACGGTAGATATTTATTTTGACGAGGATTCATACAATAGACTATACGAGACAAACAAAACAATATCATCTTTTGATGCAAAGTCAAACATCGATGAATCATTTCTATATCTATATTCTAAAAATCTTTCAAAGTATTTTGTTGAACTTCGTCCTGGTTCTATCTGCACACCTCACTTCTTCAAGATCTTGAAACAGCATGTCGATTCCCTGCAGACAGAATGGAGCCAAATTCACTTCTCAGAAAATTCCTTGTATGGACGATTATTTCACACAGATTCTTTGCCTACAATGGCAGTAGATATCCTCAATACATATGACAGTGTACAGCCTGCCGAGCGGGTGGCCAGCTATAAGACAAATCTTCAATATCGGCCACCTCTTTTCTTTTACGTTGATACTGGTGAAAGCGCCAACGTCTCCTATTACAACAGACGCGACGTAGTAAAAGAGATACTGAAAGCAAAGTACCTTAATCCCCCTGCAAAGTTATATACTGATATGCATCAGTTCGAAGACTTTGGTTTGGGTAATGTTTATGATAAAAATATCCACACATTCTTTTGGTCAAATGGATTTGACGCAGGAAGTTATATTACAGTGTCTTTCCATGTTCCTCAAACTATAAAAAGGATAGTAGTGTGCACAGGGAGCTACATAAATACAGATAAATTACGTTCTGGATTACTTACAGCGGGGAAGGAGTTAAAAAGATTATCAAATACGTGTGACAAACTTATATTGCAATGGTTTTTTATCGATGGCTTTGTAGACACGACCGAAAATATTTCTTTACAAAATATCATTTGCCTATCGATAATAGTAAATTCCAGACAACGGGACTGGCTTATGCTAAGAGATATCATAGTGGAAGTTGAAAAGGAGACAAAAAATTTTGTGCAATAAAATGTTACTCACTAGTGGTTCTCTTTTTTCAAAGTAATCTGAAGTTCAAAACGGGGTGATATGCTGATGTGGAATCTTAATTTAAATGCGTATGTAGAAATTTTTGTCCTGAAAATTATTGATAAATCTCATTTCATCTTGATATCTGTAAGATTGTGAGAGGTAGGTACTATCAGGGGATACTTTAATCAGACCAGATAGATTTGCCATCAATACCCTTCGCGTCACCCACATGTGTAGCGGTTCAAGAATATCTTCAATGTAGGACCGTCACGGTAGCTCAGTCGGTAGAGTGCTCGCTTCGTGTTCGGAAGGTCGTGAGTTCGAAAATTGGCTGCGACTGACCTAAGTTGATAAAAAAATACGTAGTTAGATTGATTGATTGATTGTATATTGTTTAACGTCCCTCTCGAGAATTTTTCACTGATGGAGACGTCACCGTACGCCGGTGAAGGGCTTTAAATTTTGACCTTTACTCGGCACTAAGGGCCATTGAGCAGTGAGGGATCCTTATCGTTCCAACGTCTGCCGCTGACACGGGGCCTCGGTTTTCAAAGTCTCATCCGAAGGACCTGCAACTTTTACTTCAAAGTGCCGAGCGCATGGGAAAGGATTAGTTGCTACCCATTTTTAATCGACTTAGGTCAGTCGCGGCCGAGATACGAACTCACGACCTCCCAATCACGGAGCGAGCGCTCTACCGACTGAGCTACAATGAACGGTACGTAACAAGAAGGATATGGAGATAACGAACAGTATTCAATCTCAAAGTCCATAAAACAATACAAATTAGGAGCAGAGCAAACACGGACCTCCGAAACATTAGAGGTGGGATCAGGTCCCATGGAGGAGTGGGCATCCCCTGCTGACTGGTCACACCCGCCATGTGCTCCTTGTCGTGATCGGGAAATAACGGAAAAATCCGTCGTCAATTCAGTGTACAAGTAATGGACTAACAATTAATGTGAAAAACGTCCGTCAGCATTTGACTCAGTGATAAATTGTATTTGCTGACAAGGTCATTGTATTGACCATAGAACTTGCAAAATAATGACTTTAAACGAGAATGCTTATGTTTTTGTTTCATCAACTTGCATGTCAATAATTTACCTCGTTTTAGAAATTGTTCATACGTATAGCATGCTCTTGCATATCGAATAAACTGAGATATATATATACTACGTATGCAGTTGATGAAGGAATATTGCTGCATAAGTAAGGGAAGTTGGCGATAGAAAAGTAAAAGTCATCACGTTTATCATATAGCTTTGTTGTTAGCTTTACCATTAACGTCCTTTTCAAGTAAAATATCCAAGTATGAAATAGATGTGTCAGACTCTGTGGTGTCTTTTATATCATATACCTAGTAGTGTATCAGCCCTGATACATGCGTTTTGGACTAGGTGAGACAGCGCCTCGGAACTAGGGCTGTCTCGCCCTCAGGGCTGAGATATCTCTGTCTCGGCCCGTTGTCAAGGGACTGTCTCGCCATCTAATTTCAAATCATTATTTCTATTTAATTTGTGTGATCTAAGAGTAAAATTCATATTTAAGTATTAAAGAAAACCTTACATATATCGAGAAAATTTAACTAGAATCTTTTAAAATTATTTATTTATACTAGAAGAAAATTGTTTTGAAAAGTGCACCAATTCGTAGCACTTGTGACGTAAGAGAGGTAACTCTTGTTTACTTCTAGGACAGCAACAAATCATGTTTTGAAAAAAAATGGATGTTTATTTGCTTTGACAGGAAGACAATACAAAGTTTTCATTTTAAATGCCATTTTGAATTTCATATATGTATTGTAAACAAAACAAGCAGTTGCCATAAATATCAGACTTATAAATTTTAACGATTCGTTGAAGAAGTTGAAACCCCGGTTCGATCCAAAGTGAAAGTAGAATGTTTTTAAGTTTGGGACCTTTTAATCTTTGTTATCTAATGTGCTTCAAAATGAAATGTTTCAAAACACAAGGACCATTCTTTTTAATGACCAAACCAGGCAAATCATCCTCTACATGATAATTCACCGTCAAGCAACATCTCCAGGAACATCAAAATAAAGAAACGACAAAATTAAATAAACTCTTTAATCGAAAATTATCTAAATATTTGTTCTTTTCATTTGTACGGATTTCCCAATGACCAAACTAAACCACAAGATTGGACCACCTAAATTTATACCTATGAATGTTTAACCTATGTATCATAACTTTATTTACAGATATCATGAGAATATCACCAATCCACATATGTTAAAATGTGTTTTATAAGTCATAATATATGTTTACTTGTTGATCAGCTTTTGATTGCATTGTACAAACCCATATTTCCTCCATAGATCGTAATAACAAATGGCCCTCTATCATTGTTAATCTACTAAATTACCCAAATTTATCCCAGCATCGTTTTCAATACAAATCCCAAAACAACAACTTATCCAATTTCCCCCCACCATAATGCTAAAAGCCTTTACTTATACAATTAGTGCGAAAGTTGAACTTCACAGTCATGGCGCCAAAGCAAACGGTACCGTTTGTTATTCGCTCGAGAAGTTATTCGCACCGATTTACAAAAAGGTATATAAAGATGGGTTTTGAACGATACAAGACAATTGTGTCCACAGCTCATCCCTGACCAGACCGTAAATTATGACTGCTAACCAGCCCTAACGAATGGTAATTAAAACATTGCTGTGACGTCATGCCTTTGTTCTTGCAGTCTAAAAATTTACCTGTAGCCGTCCGATAATAATAATTACCAGTCTGATAATATATTATCGGACGGCAATGATAACAAAATCGGACGGTATTTAAAAAACAAAAGAAGAGTGAAATAAAGATTAAATACATCATGTACATCATGTACATGTTTGTCAAAAACCAAAAAAAAAAAAAAAATGTTAGGAAAAAAAAATAAGGGATAGCAATCGCAAGGAAATTCAGTTGCTAAATAATAGCAAATCCATGAAAAAATGAGTTAAAACCTTCCTCAAAATTAATACTTCCCATCTTTTAAAAGTTTTTTGAAACAGCACTTTGAATAAGCGAATTTAAATCCATTTCTGAGAAATAATCGGCAAATCTTTTTATAATTTTATAAAGGATTGTTTCCAGGTGACTGCACTTAAAAACCTGAGAATTTCCATTATATAAACTCAAACTCCAGGATAAAATTCCGCATTTTTACTTTCCATGGCGATGGTAATAATATCACCAAAAATGAAATCTGTATCGATCAATTTATGCACAAAATAAACATGATAAATAAAAACGTTCCAAAATAAAAAAGAAATCATTCACCACCCGACCCCTGCCCTGCCGAGCTAAACGACTGCCATTGAATGAATGAAATGTGAAACAAGAGTTCACTCACTGTTTTTACTGTCTCATTTCTTTTGTCTACTTATTATACGGGTAGAAAACAATGGATGCCTAAACTCCCATTGTGTTATTATCGGACTCCTCCAGGTAACTTTTGGACATTTAAATGACAATGTTTTAAGTAAGATATACGCCTCATACTATTCTATATGTAAAATTATCAGACAGTTTTCGGCCCTAACGGGCCTCAAACAGTCTGATAATTTTACATATAGAACAGTATTCGGCATATATCCATTACATATACCCAACGTATGTATTTAATATGTTGTGAACTTGTACTATAATTGGGTAAGAATCTGATGCCACTCACATTGGGTAAAACGATCTATGAGTAACCCAATCTGTTGATTATTGTATGCCCTGACCCAATATCAATCCTTGGGTAACCCAAACAATAGATTATTGTTTGTCCTTACCCAATATTAATTTGTGGGTAACTCAACCTGAGCTAGCTGAATATACCAACCCATTACCAATATTGGGTAACCCAATCAGCTGACTATTACATCCTAGCCAAACCTGAACGTATTTTAACCCATTACTATTTTTGGGTAATCCAATCAGTTGACTAGTACATCCTAGCCCAACCTGAACTAGTTGAACGTACTAACCGATTACTAATATTGGGTAAACCAATCAGCTGACTATTACATACCCTAACCCAACCTGAACCAGCTGATTACCCAACGTACTGACTCATTACTAATATTGGATAACCCAATCAGCTAATTGTTGTGTATCCTGACCCATTATCCATAAGTATACTTTGTATTTGATTAATCATAAATCGTTTGTTTTTATTGTTTGAATAAATTCATTTTTAAAAGATAAACAAATCTTGTTGATTGATTAAGGTAAATCTCAGGAATAAGAGGACCCACATAATTTTTGTACACCCGAGATCGGGTCTCGTTACACTTTGGTTTTAGATATATGATAGAAACAACATCACACCACTGTTTTGATCTCGTCCCTGGTATCAGCCCTCGGATAATATCGGCCCGCGCCCTCCCCGGCTTGGGCCGATACCAACCGTTCGAGCTGATACCAGAGCAGAGATCAAAACAGCAGTGTGATATTTTGTATATCTCAAGCTCACCAGGATATATCGTATCGACGTAGAAATGGAAATTACCATAAGTTGTTAATTGACAATACGTCGTCGATATATCTAAATGTCAAGTTGAAGGCCACAGCAAGTGTTTCTTCGCTATGGGCTTAGCACCTTGAAATGAAAGTTTTGGGCCTTACAAACAAAGGCCCTGTGTCACGGCAGGTGTTGACATGATAAACAATGGTTGAAAGTGTGGAGTAAAAATTCGAAGCCCTTTGTCGGTGTATGGTAGCGTTTATATATAATTAAAATCTTCTCGTACGGCACATAAAACAACATACAATCAAAGAAAGTGCAGAGGGAAATATTTTCGTAGAATGAATGCAGTTTTACGATATTATAAGTAGAGTCCCGCCTAAATACAAGATCCCTTGGGCCAGGCGCATTTAAATTCACAACTTTGAAATACAAGATCCCTTGGGCCAGGCGCATTTAAATTCACAACTTTGAAAGAGGTACCCTTCTTCATCATACTATGGACAAGGTTCATGTGTTTA